GAGAGGAGAAGGGTGGTGGGTAGAAAGCTGTGAGGATAATAGGAGAAAAGGAGCCCACTACCTTAGGCACAAAGGCAGGGTTGGGCTTCAAGGACACCTTCATGTCACCTGGTGCAAACTGGGTGCAGGATGGGTGCACAGAGAGAGCCTGTAAGTCACTAACTCGCTTTGCAGATACCAAAGCCAGGAGTAGCACCACCTTAAGAGACAGGATCTTAAGGTCCAGGCTGTCCATAGGTTCAAATGGAGGCCCGGAGAGGGCCGACAGCACCAAGGACAGATCCCATGAGGGCACCAGGGGTCGAGACACAGGGAGAAGCCTGCGCGCGCCCCTCATGAAGCTACACACCAGGGGGTGTCGACCTGCCAATTTCTTCCCAAAACCCAAGTGTCGGGCAGAAATGGCTGCTAGGTACACTTTAATGGTGGAGAAAGTCTTCTTCCCATCCAACAAGTCTTGCAGGAAAGACAGAATGATGTTCACCGGGCATTGGAAGGGTGAGACCTCCCTACCCTGACACCAGGCTTCAAACACCCTCCATTTACAGTCATATAGGGACCTAGTGGAGGGGGCCCTAGCATTCTGAATGGTTCGAATGACTGCCTGGGGCAGCTCTGCTGACACTAGCCCGCACCCCTCAGGGGCCAGGCCCACAGGGCCAGCCATTCTGGATGAGGGTGGAAGATCGAGCCTCCCGCTTGGGACACCAGGTCCCTGCGAAGCGGCAGTTTCCAAGGATGGCCCTCCAGGAGTTGGAAAATGTCCGCCACCCAATGCATGGCTGGCCAGTATGGGGCCACCAGAATGAGAGTGTGGCGCTGGGTTCGTACCCTCAGCAAGGTGGGTGGTATCAGGGCCACTGGGGGAAAAGCGTAAAGCAGTCTCCGTGGCCAGTCATGCGCCAGCGCGTCCACGCCGAGTGGAGCGTCTCGGTCGCGCAGGGAGAAAAACAGTGGACACTGAGCATTCTCCTTGGAGGCAAAAAGATCCACTACGGCTGTGCCGAACCGGATCCAAATCTGTTCCAACACAGCTGGATGCAGGCTCCAATCCCTGTACAGGGGTGTCCCTCTGGACAACAGATACGCCCCCCGATTCAGAACACCCGGAACATGGGTGGCTCTGATTGAGAGGAGATGCCTGCTGCACCATAGGATCAGTCTGCGTGCCAGCGTGTGTAACCGCATGGAGCGCAGCCCCCCCTGGTGGTTTATATAAGCCACAGTCGTGGTGTTGTCTGTTCTCACTAGGACATGATGGCCGGAGAGAAAAGGCAGGAAGCGCCTCAGGGCCAGAAAGACCGCGAGGAGTTCCAGATAATTTATGTGTGTCCCCCAGAGCTCTCTGCTCCACACACCCCTGACAGAGCGACCATCCAGGAGCCCCCCCAACCTGACAGGCTCGCATCTGTCGTGACCACTTTCCTCACGAGAACCAACCCCAAAGGCACCCCCTGTGCCAAGAGGGAGGGGTGACGCCAACAGCGGAGCGCCGCGACGCACACTACAGAGACCGTCACCCTGCGCGCTCTGTGGCGCACTGAGAGAGACCCAGAGAAGCCACCCAGTGTTGAAAATCTCTCATGTGTAGACGGCCGAGTGGTACCACTGAAATAGCCGACGCCATGAGACCCACAAGCCTGAGGCATAACGCAAACCGCACCGAACTGTGTAGGCGGAAGCGCGCCAGGCAGAGCGAGAGCGCGTTCACGCGCGGTGTCGAGAGACGGGCCGTGAACGCCCCTGAGTCCAGATTCAGACCTAGAAAGGTTATTTTCTGGGAGGGGAGTAAAGCGCTTTTCTGCCAGTTTATTCTGAAACCTAGACCACACAAGTGATGGATCACAACCAGCGTGTTTGACGCTGCCTCCTCTCTGGATCGTGCCAGCAGGAGCCATTCGTCTAAATACGTGGCCAGCCGAATGCCCCTCCCTCTCAGAGGGGCGATCGCTGCCTCCGTACACCTGACAAACACCCTCGGGCTCAGCGAGAGGCCGAATGGGAGCACGGTGTATTCGTAACACACTCCCTGAAAGGCAAACCTCAGAAATTTCCTGTGTGGAGGGTACACGGGAATATGAAAGTATGCGTCCCTCAGGTCGATTGAGGTGAACCAGTCGTTCTGGTGAATCAGACGCAAAAGGGATGAGAGCGTGAGCATTTTGAATCTGTACTTTCTGAGGCATCGGTTCAGGGCCCTCAGATCCAGGATCGGGCGAATCCCGGTCCCTCCCCGTTTCGGGACCAGGAAGTACCTGGAGTAGAAACCGCTCTGAGACCGATCGGGAGGCACAATGCATATCGCTCCCTTCTCCAGCAGGGAGGAGATTTCTCCCTGAAGGATGTGAGCTGACGTCCCCTGGGCGTGGGAGAACACTACGCCGGAGAATCGAGGAGGAACTGAGGCGAATTGGAGCCTGTAACCTCTCGAAATAGTTCTCAGCACCCAACGTGAAGCAGAAACCGCTGACCATTCCTCCATGTGAGTGGAGAGCGGTGACAGTCACACAGCCGTGACACACGGAGCACCAGCTCCCTCCAGAGGTTGTGGGGCAGCGGTGCTCGTGGCAACCACTGCGCATGCGCGGGGGCTTTGTGCTTTGACGGCCCATGCGTACGGGGACGACGTGTGGCTGGCGGGTAAGTCCGCCAGGGGCCGCCCCCGCCTGGTTCCGCTCATGGGTAACATTTTTATTGATTTTTGCTGCGCCCTTGACATTTTGTCTGGATGCGTCAGCGAACGTTTTAATGCTCCTTGAGCGTGACATGTTTGTGAAAAACAATGTGAGTGCTTGTGACGTGTGTTTTGAGCCGGCACAGCCGGCTGCACGTCCTGGCCCCACCCTGGACCGCTCGGGGACTCTGCCGGAGGGGTTCCGTGAGGGGGGGAGAAGGCACCATGGCAACATCGAACAGGAGGAGCTGGCGAACGGGGAACTGCCAGCTCCAGCATCGGGAGGGAAAGAACTCCGTCAGGCTGCCCTCTTCTTCTTCCTCACCTGCTGACCGCCGGGTCGGGTGGGTTGTCCCGACGGCGGAGCGGCTTGGTTGCCGGATCTCTGAGGCCAAACTGGTCGAAGCGCTGAGCCCGAAGGAGCTGGTTGGACAGCTTGAGGCTTCGGGCGCTTTGGGATCCGGAACTGAGGCTGGGCTCTGGCAGCTGCCTGGGGAAGGTTCGGCCGAGCCGGCAGCGCCGGTGAGGGCTTACGGGGAAGGCAGAGATGAAGGGCTTCATCCTCTTTCTTTTTGGCCTCACACCGTTGCTGCATTGATGCCAGGGCAGAGCCAAAAATACCTTCAGGCACGATTGGCATGTCCAAAATGTCCTCCTTCTCTCTATCAGAGAGGTTGGTGAGGTTCAGCCATCGTGCACGTTCTTGAAGCACCATCATGCCCATAGCTTTTCCCGTGGCCTGGACCGCGCAGCGCTGCACACGCAGGCAGATGTCGGTCAGTACGGTGATTTCCTCCCACACCTCTGGGTCCGGCTTCGTATTCATGTCCTCACAGAGCTCGGCTTGGTACGCCGAGAGCATGGAGGAGACGTTCAAAGCTCGGACCGAGATGGCGGCAGCCTTGTACGCCCTCTCATTCAGCGCCGACTGGAAGCGGTCCGCCTTCGCGGGGAGAGCGGGAGGCCTGGAGGAAGTTGCCGAGAGCCATGGGTGCAGGTGTGCTGCAACCAGCGGTTCCATCAGCGGCATGCGAAGCATGCCAGCCTTCTCCATCCCCTCGAAGTCCAGCGAGGAGGCTCCTTGGACAGGAGACCTGGAGCTGAAAGGGTGTTTGTCCCAGGAAGACCTCACTTCTTGGAGAAGCTCCGGGAAGGCGGGAAGGAGAGGCTTTGCCGCCCTTGTGGCCTGAGGCAGCTTCTTTCCCTCGTAGCGGGATCTGACAGCCTCGGTGACCACGGTGGGCCAAGGGATGTTGAGCCTGGTCGCAGCGCGTCGGCAGACTGACTGCATGTCCAGGTGGGCGGCCGGAGAAGCCGCTCCATCCCTGGGAGAGTACGGAAAGCTAGGCATGGAGGCCTGAGCGATGGGGAGAAAAACGTCGTCATCCTCGTCCTCCTCTGAAATGAGGAGTTCCGAGGTGTCCTCGTCGTCTCCGTAGTCCAACTCCAACACGTCCTCGATGGGGTGGCTCGGACCGGCCGGTTCGAGCTGTGAGCCCCAGCTGAGTTCGGCACACGGTTCCGGCTCCGGGAGGACATGTTCGCTGGCGTCCCCAGGCGGTGGCCCAGGGGCCGGCAGGCAAGGGTCCTTCCCCGACAGGCTAGCTTGGCGCGCTAGCCGCCGGCGAAGGCTCTTCAGGGTGAAGCAAGCGCAGCTCTCACATGACCCGGGGACTTCCAATGCCAGCTGGGCGTGTTCCAGCCCGAGGCAGCTCGAGCAGACCTTGTGCGGGTCTTTGCTTGAGATTTTGTTCCCACAGGTACAGAGGCGAGCTCCTGCGCCGTCGACTCCTCTGGTGGGAGGAGCGGCTTCCATGCTGGCTAACTGGTGTGTTAGCAAGAGAACGAACAGATGCACTGGAGTGTGAAGCTGCTCGTTATGACCCGAACCTATGGTGAAGGTCAGGACAGGACGGTAAGTTAACGTTCGGCGACGGAGAGAATATTAGCTGGCTCCGTCTGTGAACAGTTGAGTTAACTTATCTTAGAGATAAGCGACCACCGAAGCGAGAAGAGGTGATTGAATGGTGCGTGCGTTGGGACGCTTGCTACTTATAGTAGCAGGTGACGCGTACGTCACGGTCACTGGCCAATCAGGATTGGCGTATTGAGATAAGTGCTTCTGAGGAATCCGCGGAGTGGCGTATCCCATAGTGAGACATCGAAACGAATGTTAAGAAAGAGAACTAGTAGCAACTTGGTTGCAAATGACTCAATAATGATATTTATTCCTGAAGCTGAAGAGCTCATGTGTGATTGGTGTGAATAAATCTTACGTTTTGCATTATGACACTTATGTTTTAAACAATCACATGAAAAATCATGACATAATCATGTTTTCTTTAATTGCAGCATAAATGTATTTCTATTAGAATGAGATCCCTTTCTTTTTTATTAACAGCTAATGTACGGTAACTATTTATTTTCATTGTTTTGATATAAAATCCTTCTACTGTGGTAGTTCTGTAAATCTTCACTTACATTATGATAAATAATCATTAAATATGAATATCTTGAAACAAAACTAAAGCCTGTGTTCTACTTCCACTTTGCACAAACACCAGATAAACCAACACTTTAACTGATTCCAGTTATTATTTACTTTAGAGCAGACATCCCAGATCATTTTATAAACAGTTGTTATAAACAGTGAGTCACTGTCCTGCTGGCTTTCACCCTCCTCCCTCCAGTTTCCATTTCAGACACACAAACAGAAAGGTTACGGCTCCTAATTGAGCCCCACAAAGTGTTTCTCTTATCATTTTGAGAACCTCAGCCAGTTAATAAGTTCTTCTTTTTCAACTTCCTGATGCTGAGTTTAGTGACTGCATAAAAATGTGTGGTCTGGATGTGTAATGAGCTGAGGAGGACATTCAAACTCACGTCTGGTCTATGTAACACAATAAACAAAGGTCTTAGGAGGGAGGAAAACATGCTTTTTATTGTCAAAATAACTTAAATACATGTGAGCTGTATATTTTACGTCTTGCAGGGTGGAGCAGACGCGAGAAATCTCCGTATAGCATGTGTTCGTTAGGTTTCTGTGGTCGTTATCTCAGTGAGGACGTAGGATCGGTTTCTAGTTGCCTTCTGTTTTCTGAAAACACACAACAGACATGAGCATTACAGTTTAAATTTCCTCCACACCAGATCTGATTAATGTGTTAAAGGTTGGAAATAATTATTACAACATTCTGTATGTGTGTGTATATATATATATATATATATATATATATATATATATATATATATATATATATATATATATATATATATATATATATATTAGGACAAGAAAGCCCTCCGGTCACCTTTAATCATTTTGGATCATTTTGGATTTGGGTCAGCTGCAACTTGCCGTTTGCTTGTCAATCTAGATAGAACTCATCTTTATTTCTCCAAACTGTGGCTGTTCAAAAGCCAATGATAAGAAGTACAAAGAATCTCACTTCAAAGTACCTCAGATATTGCTTGAAAGTTTTTTTTTCATAGGTAAATTGGATATTTTTTATTTAAGTGGCACATGTATGAATATATATTATTGTATTTATACACTCTTCCATCCGTTTTCGGCTGCTTATTCGGGTCGTGGGGGTAGCAGCCTATGCACACTTCCCTCTCCCCAGCCAATTGGGCCAGGTCCTCCGGGGGAGCCACAAGGCGTTCCCTGGCCAGCTGAGAGACATAGTTCCTCCAGTGTGTCCTGGGTCTTCCTTTAGGTCTCCTCCCAGTTGGACATACCTGGAAAACGTCACCATGGAGGCGTCCTAACTAGATGACTGAGCCACCTCAGCTGACTCCTCTCGATGGGGAGGAGCAGCGGGTCTACTCTCAGCCCCTCCTGGATGACCGAGCTTCTCACCCTATCTCTCCCTTAGAGATAGGGTGAGGGTAAAAACAGTATTGTGTTCAAGATGTCTAATGAAAACACTCTTAAATTCCAGCATCATTAAGGAGACCCTCTGAAGGGACATGCTACATTAACACTGACCACAGACTCAGAGACATGAAGGCCTCACCTCAACATCAGAAACACAACTAAGGCGATAATAACGACCAGGATGCCAACAGTAACTCCGATCAGCACCACTCTGCTTTCTGATGAGTCAGACGATGTTGCTGTGAGAACAAAAAGTGTTGGGAAGTTTTGTTAATCCATTTAAACGCTTCAAGCCTGGAAACAAAGAACATTTTTATGAGCTAATTTAACTAGTTTCATATAATCTGGACACACGTTTGCTTGTTTGGCTCCACTGTTGTTTTTTTTTTTTGAAGAACAAACACAACTGCTGAAACAGGGTTTGCGCATTTGTTGAACGATTTTTTTATCCACAAACCTCTAGACCCTCCGAGAGTCACGCTGGAAGTCTGTGATCCGTGGCTGTTTTGTGCCACACAGCAGAGCTGGCCGTTCTCCTCAGCGGTGATGTTGGCGCTACTTTGTGTTGAGCCTCTTCCTTTCCATGCAGCCAGGCTTTGTTTCCCTTGATAACGGCTCCTGTCAGCCGTCGGGGAACAAGCTGAGCCCTGGTACCAGGTGAACGTGTGCACGGGAGGGTTAGCATCACTGCTGCAGGTCAGAGTCACAGTGAGACCTCCAGTAGGCCACATGTAGATGACCGTGTCACGAGGAGGGTCTACACAAGAGGCATTGTTGAGCATCACACATCAAACAAGTCTCAAAGTAAAGTATAATCTCAGTATTTCATAGATAATCAGCCTTACTCACACTGTACAGCAACAGCCAGCATGGTTGAGTTCTGCACCTTATCTCTAGTCTGTATCTGACAGTAGTAGATGCCAGAGTCACTCGGTGTAACTTCATTGGTTTTCCACACCTGCCCATTATGAATTACACTGGTTTTTCTGCTCTTGTACCATCTGAAGCTGGTCTGTGATGTGGCTGCTGGGCTGCAGCAGGCCAGGCGTAGGGCTTCACCCTCAGCGATGACTCTGGACGGACTTGCCAGCACCGAGACTGCGCTGGCTGATTCTGGAAACACAAAGTGAAGAGAAACGTATCAATTCAAGCCTCACATGACTTTAGAGATACAGGTTTTTGAAATGAACTACATTTGATAATCTTCAATTTTTAGGAAAATAGTCCGTCACAGAGCTTTGTCTGCTTTATTATTTCTAAAACTTTTGGTCACTAATCTTTTACCAATAAAAAGTTAGTTTCTCTCTCTCTCTCTCTCTCTCTCTCTCTCTCTCTCTCTCTCTCTCTCTCTCTCTCTCTCTCTCTCTCTCTCTCTCTCTCTCTCTCTCTCTCTCTCTCTCTCTCTCTCTCTCTCTCTCTCTCTCTCTCTCTCTCTCTCTCTCTCTCTCTCTCTCTCTCTCTCTCTCTCTCTCTCTCTCTCTCTCTCTCTCTCTCTCTCTCTCTCTCTCTCTCTCTCTCTCTCTCTCTCTCTCTCTCTACCAGGGTCCCAGTAGCTTGTTTGAGAGTGATACAGCCACCACAGCTCCACACTAATGTGAGATCTCCTTTTTCTACCAGCACTTGTCACATTTCAGCTGGTTTGGTGGTGCTGCTCACTCTGGCCCAAGCTGGTCCCACTAGTGTTCAGTGGGGTTGAGGTCAGGACTGCAGACAGTCTTTATCCTCTTCACTCATCCTGGAGGTGTTCCCTGAAACCCCCGCCTCGTCGGCCTACAGTTGCCATCTTGGAGCTAGAATTTGGTCCCAAATGGTACAAAACAAGATTTATTAGCAGAATAGGTTGTTTAGCAGAGAAGATCCGGAGAATGTTTCAGAGCCACGACTGCCGCACTCAACTCTGCTCCTCAGCCCACCTCACATTTTGTTTAGTTGACAAGAAACCTGGAAACAAAACTAGTAAACATTTCTAATGTCAGGAGTCGGGATTGTCAGAGGTGATTGGCTATTGGTTTTCCTGCCTTTCATTCTGCAGGTTTCCACTGGAGGGCACTGTGGATACACCATCATCTAAGGGTGTTTACTGCAGGACACAGGAATACCCTCATCATCATCAGCAGGAGTATAAAACGGGCTAGAATCTCATCACTCATCACCACTCTTCTGGTTCATGACTCTTGGAAAGTACTCAACTCTGCTCCCAATGACAGTTCTTCAGAAAACTCCCGATGGGCTTCCTGGGCTAACGTTGGATCTCCCACTCATTACCGCCCAACATCAGCCGATTCACCCCTTCCTCCCCAGCAAATCCACAGCCTCCTCACATCCCTCGGATCCTCAAACTTTGACCTGTATAAGTGTTGACCTGGTTCAACAACCTTTTATAGAGCTAATGGTGAAACGTCAGTTGTACTTCTCAAAAACGACTGAAAGCGATCGCAAACTCATCACTACTCTAATAAGTCATCTGTCACAGATATAAATCTGAGAGGAAGCTGAGTAAAAACTAGAAAACGTTCAGTCATGACCAAGATTTCACACCCAGACTGATCTGCTCGGAAAAAAAACCCCGACAGAAAATGGTGAAGCAACACACAGAACAGACATGATGTGTGAAGATGACAAACAGGAAATTAGACGACTGACCAACATTAAGCAACAAGCGACCAAATAAAGACTAAGTGTAAAGGATGGAGCAGGAAGAGGTCTATTATAAGGAACGGAGTCATTCTAAAAGAAAAACAGAAAATAATCAAACATTTTTGTTTTGCTGGTATTAATAATGGTAGTAAAACAGCCTATATAATAACATAAATATCTTTAAACGTGATTATCTCACCTGCCACAAGGAGCTGAACGCCGCTCTGTGGAGGCATCTTCTCATCTGGATGGTTTGTGATGAGGTAGAACACGTAGGTCCCGCTGTCTGATGGTCGTAGGTCAGAAATACTCAGAGAGCAGTTCTTCGTTCCTGGTTGTCCCAGGTACTGCACCCGGTTCTGATAGGATGGATCTGGGAATATGTCAGCGCTGTGGAAAACATACCTGACAAGGAAAGATGTTGGACGATTAGGAAGTCTGATAAACCTTTTATAGTCTCGCACCGTACCTCTGTGTGATGCATCGACTGTCGCTGAGGCACCACATCTCAAACTGAACTTTGTATTCTTGTACTTCTGCAGCTTCCTGACAAAAAACAATTATTTAAACAAATAGGTTTTAGAAAATTATTCTAAAGTCTTATGTTAAAAAAACTTTATTTTGTTTTCCTACTACTGGTAACTAATATTCTCCAGATTACAGAAAATGAGCTCTCCTTGTTGGAGCGCTGAGGGATCTCTGGCTGTGAACAACAATGGCTCCTTTGTGGATGTACCTGTGCATCCCTTCTGCTTTCATCAGAGCTCAGTGGGTAGTCATAGGAACAAGGGAGGACCACTGAAGAACCAACCACAGCACATATGGGGGTGAGGGGGACATGCACTGACCAATCACCAGCCAGAATACCTGCAGATGACGCGTGTGTGTTGGGTTACAGAAAGTTAAAGAACACATGAACAGGAATTAGTTAATGCTGCAGAACAACAGTAGACATTTTACCTTCCATAGAAAGGGTGATAATCAACCAGTAGCTGCACTGATGTCCCATCTCTATTGTCCCTCGTCCTCTTGTCTGACCTTGTCTGTTCTTTGATGGTCGGTGATGCAAGCACTTCTCTTTCTGTCACATAAATGGTCAGAGGTCAGGTTGTTCAGCTTCTTTTTGTCACTCGAAATGTAAAAACTTCCTTGTCAGCAAAGAGAAACAGGAAATGGGTTAAGCCATTTATGGCCTCATCAGATCATCACTGGACCAGAGGACTACAGCAACACTTAAGAGTTTTTGTCTTAACCCTCTAACCCCATAGACTCATTTGCCCAAGAAGTCAAATATGGCGGTTCCAATCTCAGGGTTTAACAAAGTTAAAACCAAATAAAAAGTCTTTCCTGATAAAAAAAAGAGGGCCTAATGCTAAAACACACACAGTTACAGCTCATCCAACAAAGGCTGTTTCTTGGATACAGAGCTCCAATCAGCCAGGATTCTCACATTGTCCTCCTTCTAAAGGTTTGATATGTTGGTGCTGCCAACAGCCTGCTCACTTTGCTGGGAACTGAGGGTATTTCTCGTGCCCATTAAGAGAAAACTGCTAAAGCCTGTCCACAGCTGGAGATTGGAACCACCATATTTGACTTATTGGGCAAATAGGCCTATGGGGTTACAGGGTAAAACAATAGGGTGCAATTCCCTTGGTGACATTGCTGGACTCTTTTCTTTGGAATCCACCAAAGATTTCGCTATTGCCAAAGTACACTAGCAGGAGGTTTCTGCCTGCTTTACAGCCATAGCTGCTTAGTGTGGCAGTAGCATATGGAGGCTAGCAATTAACGTTTTCAGTTCGCCAACTTTCAACATAAAAAACACACAAGAAAAAGATTTTTGCTTTATTGTTGACATCATGGGTCTTTTTGCATAACGGCTTAATTAGGGTGGCAGAGGAGTTAAATGCTTGCCCCATAACTGGAGGGTTGCAGGTTCAAGCCCTGATTGTCACAGTTACTGTGTCCTGGGGCAAGACACTTCACCCTCCTTGCCTGTGGTGGTAGTTGGAGAGACCGGTGGCACCATTGGCAGCCTTGCTTATGTCAGGGCTGCTGCTTATCACCATCGGCGAGTGAATGTGTGTGTGTGTGTGTGAATGGCTGGTTGTCTTGTAAAGCACCTTGGGGGTTGCAGAACCCTAGAAGGCTCTATATAAAATATGGGCTATTAACCATTTAGCATAATTTGGCTTCCGCTAACCTTAGCTTGTTTTTAGCATTAGCTACAGCTGGCTGCTGCAAGGTTTTTCACAATTCTGCTTTAAATCAGTAAGGGGAAAAGCAGGTAACTATTTTAGTGTTGATAGGAGAACAAGCGCCAGCAACAGTAAGTATAAAAAACATAAACATTTTATTAACCATTGGTTGCAAAAATGTGAACCTTAACGGACTGCCTATATAGATTTTTGATGCAGTCCGATATAACCCAATCACGGACATAGTTTATTTGGGTGGGGAGGGCAGGGGGAACATGTCCCCCCCCCCCCCCCCCCCCCACTTTTTCCAAAGTCAATTTTTGTCCCCTGCACTTTTTACCATCCAAAAACAACATTACGCTTTATTAAATAGACTGGTTGAGCACTAGGACTAAGCAGAAAACAACCGCTGGTGTTGAAGCCTGTTTTACATTGGAATCATCCATAAGCTCATCTATTGGCTCCACTGATACTTGCTAACGTGTGATTGGCTGTTCCTGCCACCTGTACTTGACAGTTCTGCATTGCTGACATTGGATAAAAGAGCCTCTAGGCTGTAGTTTTATACATATTTTTTGTATACTTACTGTAAAGATACCCCCCAGTCTTCATGCTGGTTGTGTCCCCCGGCCCACTTCTAAAGTCAAAACTTTGTCCATGAATCCAATACAGTGTATTTGGACCAATATCGAATAACTTCCGCTATCGATATGGAACGGGACATCCCTAGCACTTTTTATACTTTTTTAGCTTATTCAGATAAATGTTTTCTGTCTCTTCTAAGGCTCCACCATGATAAACACGTTACAATAAAAGCTAACCAGGTATAGTTCGTCTGTCCTGAGGTGAAAACATATGGATTACCGTAAAGCGTGACTGAGACAGAGAAGCTGCATGAATTTGCAAACGGAGAATCCTACTCACAAGGGCCAGAGAGTATTTTTATTTACCCTGTCAAGGGTCATTTTTGTACTGGCTCAAGAAAATGATTGAAAAATGAGAAAGTGCTGCTTTCACACTCTTTTGTTTGGGTTTTCCACAAACCCACTCAGTTGGAAAACACAATATGATTTCATTACTATTGTAAAAACTATTACTATTGTAATAACAAATTTACTAAGATTCCATTCAGTCGTAGATGCTGACTCAGAATGATGCACACCTGCTGAGAGTTGGTATAAAGTACAGTTTATGACTGAAACCCACTTGATGTTAACAAGTCCCTTCCATCCAGGTGTGTTTCTGAAGACTGTGGGACACAATGTCCGCGCTCGTGCCTGTTCTTTGTCCACTCTGAGTCTGTGACGTCACTCGTCGCCCCTCTTGTGGCCGGCGGACCAGAACCGGAGGACCGAACTGCCGTAACTCTGCTTCAAGAGGCTCAAACTTCCGAATGTTGTTCTTCTCTCAGGTAGAAGCGGTAGCTGGTGGTTTTGGTTGAAGAACAGCTGAAGAAAAGGCGAAGCGGCGACAGGAAACTTTGGCTTATTCCTTTTTTCTTTTTGGGGTCAGTAACCTGTGAGGAGAGGAAAACAGGAGTTATCCCCGCGGTGGTGTTGGGAGGGAATTATCTCTTATTCTTTTTGCTTTTTCTATATTCTGAAAGGGCAGCAGATGAAATAGTTTTTGTTTTAAGTGGAGAACCTGAACTCCACCTGCTGAAAAGCCACAGGTGAGTCATTTTCTTTAAATCCTGCTCGGTCAGCTAATAACGGAGAGTTTAAGAGGTTATAAGTTAGGGAGGTTAAGAAGAAACCATCTGAATCAATCGATCATTTTATTTAAAATCTAATTAATTCACCGTTTTATCGCCACTTTTAAACCGTATGAAGAGCTGGTCATAGGTGAGCAAATGACTCATCAACTGTGAATGTAACCATTCATGTGTCATGACAACTTCATTGATTGAACTTAATTTAATTTTCTTTTCATTTATTGCTGCGTCAGTAACAGATTCTAAAATTTGCCTCAAGCATTTGTGTGTGTGTGTGTGTGTGTGTGTGTGTGTGTGTGTTAGAGAGAGAGAGGGATAAAAGGAGATATAATTTGTCAATTCACATAAAACCCAAAACAACACAGTTGCACAAGTGTTGTACAGTGACAGTCAATGAATGTGAAAATAATAAATTAACTAAAAAATAATACAGAGTTTCTAACTGACCTGTGGTTTTGGTTTAGCAACCACCCTGAAGTGTCTCGTCACAATTTTCATGCCATGTTTCTTCCGGAGGCTTACACAGTCAAACTCAAGGACTGCATGTAAATAGTGTAATAGTTAGTTTGTTAATTAAACACGTTGGTGACGATGCTTGACACGACTATGACTGGAATGGCCCCAAAGGGAAATGAGTTGCTACCAAAGAGTTTTCGGATGAATTAACAGATACAAACTCATCGTTAGTTGTTAGTTGGACCTCCTTCAGAAATGCTTTCATTCTTAATGCCGTAGATTCAACAAGGCGGCTGCGTACCCAGGTTCAGCCCCCCATTGAGGAAGAAGCTGTTCAGAAAATGACTGAATGGATAAAAAAAATTGAAAAAGCTTCTGGACTGGACTGATATCTGGTGACTGTGGAGGCCGCTGGAGTATGGTCATGTTCTAAAAACCAGATCTGAGCTTTGTGGTGCTTTATCCTGCTGGAAGTAGCCATCAGAAGATGGGTCCATGTGATCATAAAGGGATGGACATGGTCAAAAGCAGTACTCAGGAAGGCTGTGGTGTTTGAACCAGGCTCAGTTGGTTTTAAGGGGTCCGAAATGGGACAAGAACATCTCCCCAACACCACCACCATTACACCTGCAGCAGCCGCCTGAAGCATTCATACAAGGCAGGATGGATCCGTGCTTTCATGTTGGTGACACCAAATTCTTATCCGACCATCTGAATGTAGCAGGTGAATTCTATACTCAGACCAGGAAAGGTTTTTCCATTCTCTCCTGGTCCAGTTCTGGAGATACTCGGTTTTCCTGTTCTTAGCTGACAGCAGACACCTGGTGTGGTCTTCTTCTGCTGGAGTCCATCTGGAGCTGCTGTTGTTGGTCAGCACACCTTGGTAGGAACCAGCGCTTATATGAGCTGCTGTTGTCTTTCTATCATCTAGAAACAGTCTGCGCAGTCACTGTAAACCCTAGAGCTGGTTGTGGGTTCAAATCCCAGTAGACCACCTGTTTCTGAAGTACTCACAGCAGCATGTCTGGTTTCAGCAACCATGTCGTGGTTAAAGTCACTTAAGTTGCGTTCCATCATCTTTGATGATCTGTCTGAACTTCAACAAGTCTTCTTCACCATGTTTCCATGAGTAAATGATTTAAGTTGCTGTCATGTGATTGGCTGATTAGATATTTGGCTGATTAGATATTTGTTTTAACAGCACCTAATGAAGTTAGGGTCAGTTAAACTGAATCTCTTTTCTTTGAAAGACCTCATGCTGGGTCTCTATAGGGAATATTATGGAAGAAATATATAAAAATATGACCTTTTCTGTTCCAATAAAATTTTAAATGAAATCTTGTTTTCTTTCCAGGCTGAAGGATCTGCTGCTGACTGAACACCTGCTTGGTGGGTTCAGCCAGAGAACAAAGTGAGGAGGAGACCGTCTGTTGTGCTTCTGCTTCCTACTGATTACAAATGTATGCTGAGAAAATTGTAACAGAGGGGAAGATGGGTGAGCTCTCATTACACACACATGCGAGCGTGCACACACACATGCACGCACACACACACACACACACATACTCTTCTTGGTCAGCATCATAGCTCGCTTCCTATTGGCTGGGGGAGTATGGTAGAATCATCTAGCTTCAATCCAAAAAGTATGGTAAAAATCTGCAAAAGCAGGTTTTAGGAGCACTGGGGGGAGAAGCTGGAAGTCCAGGAACATTTGTATGAAGTTAAGGGTCCATTTGAGGGCAAATAAAAATATCTGAACACAAGAAGAGAATTTCGATTGAGAACAGTACAAGATCTGGTCAAAAACAACAATAAAAGCTCTTTAACTGACAAGCTATGCTCCTGATTGAAGGTCTCATTCACTCGAGTTTTCAATACATCTGAATGAGTGAATGCCTTGTAAGTCGTTTTCTGTGGAAAAGGTGCTCTGGCACTCCTGTTTCAGGAAGTAGAAGTTAGTCTGAGCAGTGGGGGGAAGAAAAGGGCAGGATTTAGAGTTTATTATTATTCATGAGATGAGAACATCTAGCCTCTGGTTGGCTAACAGCGACACAAACCTCTCTGCTGCCTCTGTTTGCTGTTTTTTATTATGTAATAAATGCAACGCTGATGATTCATCTCCCCAAATAAATCAAATCAAATCAAATCAAACTTTATTTATATAGCACCTAATCATACAATGCATATATCTCAAAGTGCTTAACAAATTAAAAAGGCCCCGCATACCCACATTCCCTCCCATCCCCAGAATTTTAAAACCAGTCTGAGAATAAAAACCCCTTCACAACACTCATCCTCCACACACACACACACACACACACACACACACACACACACACACACACACACACACACACACACACACACACACACACACACACACACACACACACACACACACACACACACACACACACACACACACACACACACACTGCCTGTTTTCTGTATTTGTGTACAGAGATCAGCCCACTTCATTGTTAACCATTAACTGTTGGGTTAAAAACGGCTTTGCTGTGTTTCTGATGATCTCCGGATTAATTTTCCATCCAGTCTTCTTTAACCAAATACAAATGCAGTGTCAGTAACTGGAGCACAGACAGTGACTAAATCTGGGCTAATTAACTGGAGGGCCACTGCCCTGCATGTATGGGCTGGTTCCTGGTCCAAGACACCTGATTCAATGATCGAATTTACTCTTCAGCAGGTCCACAAGTTCTTCAGAAGTTTGTCAATCATCCATTGATACTAACCAGGTGTGTTGGTGAAGAAAAGTATAGAAAACATGCTGGCTAATCGTTTTCTAAGACTGGGTCTTAATGACCCTGGACCAAGTTTTGTTTGTTTATAATGCTGTTTGCTACAGATTTTATGACACTAAAGAGATAAGAGCACTTCCTGTATTTTAAAGCTGCTAGATGGCAAACATGTTGTAAACTGTGGTGATGTTTATAGAGACATATTGAACATTCACAAACTGCTTTACCCTTAATACATACTTTTATCTCAGCATTCATCCTTAATTGTCCTAAAGGTCGTGACCTTACCTTGCATCAGGATCCAAATGAAGTTAAATTCCTCTCTGTTTTGGCCATTTCCTCTCTGTTCTTGTGTGTGTTTACTGCCACAAACCCTCCTTTTGAACGGTGAGCCGGAGCCAGACTCTTGGTTTTCTCATACTCTGTTGCATGACTAAAGAAGTCCACCCAGAAGACTTTGATTCACATGTAATTACAAGAAACCTAGTGCAGCTCAGACTCAGCTTGTTGTGTTGTTTGAGCTGAGATCAGAAATGACGTGTGTTAAATCAAGATGTGACCACACAGTCACGAGTAATAAGAAAAACACGGGCACTGCTTGTTAAATGGGGGAATATATCTTTAACTTACCACATGATTGTGCTTATTTTTAGACGTGGACCTCCTTAGCAACCAGCAATAACATGAATCAAAACTTCTGTAATGACTACTGCTCCTCCTGTGTGTGTGTGTGTGTGTGTGTGTGTGTGTGTGTTTGTGTGTGTGTTGGTTCTCTCTAATCTTCTCTGAGCCTTCTCTGACAGCACCACACCTAGATGTACTTTGGCTCGTTGAAGTTTGGTTCAATACACCTGATTCTAGAGTACAGAAGCTTCAAAGCTACCATAGCAAATCTGCAAAACAAGCTAGCTTAAAACTTGTTCTTAACAAATTCTAACAGCTGTATAAATATGTTGTGTAGATTAAAGGAAAAAAAAATACAGTTATGTGGTTCTCTGCCTAAAAACCTCGGACAAAAACCAACAATGGTCCAAAACAAGCTATTGAACTATCCGGTTCTCTGTCTTACTGAACCACTGCAATTCCACATTTACCTGGGTCTTCCACTCATTACACACTTATCATCATCATCATCATCATCATCATCATCATCATCATCATCATCATCATCATCATCATCATCATCATCATCATCATCATCATCATCATTTTATTTATAGAGCACATTTAAAATCCAGCATGAAAGCTGACCAAAAGGCTTCACAGACAATTGGAGAAAAGTAAAAACCATAAAACCAAAAATAAAGCAATAAAAACACAGATAAAACCCTAAAATAAAAAGCAATAAAACAAATCACGAACTAAAAGTTAATCTATAAAAGTGAGTCTTTAAACGAGATTTAAAAAGCACCAGAAAATGAGCCTGCCTTACACCAAGAGGCAGTGCAGCACAGCTGGGGGGGCGGAATAGATAAATGTTCGCTCTTCTCGTGATTTATAGCACAGCCTGGGAGTGAAGAAGAGGAGATATGTCACAAATATCACGTATCACATATTTTGCAACAGAACACCATTGGTGTGAGAGGTTCTCTGCTCAAAAATTTCAGAGATAGAGAAACAGTCAGCTGCTACAACTTCAAATTTAGGACAAAAAACCAAAGTCCCAAAAAGAAAAACACCATTTGAAGTCACGGACAACTAAAGATGTTTGGACATAGAAAACGCTGACTGATCTTTAGCGCTCTCTTGTTTCCTCTTATAACGCTGGTTACGGTTCTAATGGACATAGCCCTGAGATGATAACTGACTGCTTAATGTCCTATTGACTGATTTCTGTAGCAATGAAAACAGTACATTGTTCTGATTGGTTCTAGCGCTGTCCAATTGCATGCAGAGTCAGTTTGAAAGAGAACAGTAGATTTCGCCCCACAACTAATTTCTTTCTATGGGTCATGGCCAGACTATATGATTACATATATTGGAGGACTTTCGAGGCTAATATAGCTGTAGACTTTCAAGTCATGTCAAGTCAATTTTATTTCTAAAGCACTTTACCACTCAGCATGGCAGCTGACCAAAGTGTGTCACACCCTGTCCTGTCTCCCCATTCTGTTCAGTCCTGTGTTCATGTTAATTGCTCCCATCTGCCTCTCATCTCCCAATCACCCAAGGTCCCAGCTCCTCCTGTATTTAAACCCTGTTAGTTCATTTTGTCTGGTTGGTTCATTGTTTCATTGTCCTGCGTGTCTCATTAAAACTCTTTAAATGTTCCTGTCTGCCTGCCTGCCTCCTTTGTCACCCGCGTGTGGATCCTCACTTCCATTTCACTCACCGGCACGCTTGTGACAGAATGAACCAACCCTGTAAAGGATCCAGCAGGGAGGTTCTTTCTTGGGAGTGTTTGCTCCAGTTTTTAACCGCAAATCACCAGCCGGCTTCTCCTCCTCTGGCCTCGTCTCGCTGCAGACGCCGTTGCCAAACCCCGGCTGCGACGATCCCCTCCGCCCTCCCGGAGCTAGATGTGAGGTTGGACCAGGAGACGCAGCTAGACCGTTCCTGCTACGTGGGCACCAGACTGGCTGTGTGCTCCCCCGGAGCTGGCCCACGGCGTTGGGAAGAATGCCGGGCTCCACCGTCACCCCTGGTCCCAGAACGGAGCCGCGAGCTCACTGCAGCTCCGGCTCGGCGCGCCAACTTGCCAGCAGTCCTGTCTCCGGTCCAATCAGCGCCTCCGTCATCTGCAGGCGGAGGGACCACGCCTACAGCCCAGCTGACAGAGCTCGCCGGCCTCCAGGCGGAGCTTGGCCGGATCCGTCAGCTTGTCAGCCTCCAGGAGTTCAAGCTAGACACCCTATCCTCCCCGAATTACCAGGAGGAGGTTCCGGTCCAGTCTGCAGCTCCCTCATCTCTTGGCCAAAGGATCGAACCCGCATTCCACCCAGCAGAGCTCGCCGGTCTCCGAGCTGAGCTGGCCCAACTCCACCAGAGCCTCAGTCTCCAGGAGCTCCAGCTGGACAATCTATCCTCCCTGCTCTCCCAGTTTCCGGCACCACCAGTTCAGTCAGCTCCTGTCCCAGTGGTGGTCCCGGAGGTCGCACCGCATCCAGTTCCCGTGGTGGTCCCGGAGGTCGCACCGCATCCTGTCCAGCGTGTCCAAGCAGTCCCATCTGTAGCAACTCCTCCTCCACTCCAGAAGCCGACGGTCCAGAAGCCGACGCCGCCGGACCAGAAGTTGACGCCCCCGGACCAGAAGTCGACGGTCCATAAGTCGACGGACCAGAAGCCGACGGTCCAGAAGTCGACGGTCCAGAAGCCGACGGTCCAGAAGCCGACGGTCCAGAAGCTGATGCTCCCGGACCAGAAGTCGACGTCCCCAGACCAGAAGTCGACGCCCCTGTACCAGAAGTTGAAGGTCCAGAAGTCGACGGACCAGAAATCGATGCCCCCGGACCAGAAGTCGATACCTCCGGACCAGAAGTCAATGGAGGTCGACGCTCCCTCGTGCCCAGAGGTCGACACCCCCTCGTGTCCAGAGGTCGACGCTCCCTCGTGTCCAGAGTTCGACGTTCCCTCATGTCCAGACGTCGACGCTCCCTCGTGTCCAGAGGTCGACGTTCCCTCCAGTCCAGAGGTCGACGTTCCCTCCAGTCCAGAGGTCGACATCCCCTCCAGTCCAACGTCTCCTCCGTCTCCAGTCCATTGGTAGATGCCGTCTCCAGTCCAGTGGTTGATGCCG